AAAAAAAAAAAAAAAAAAAAAAAAAAAAATTAAATAATTTGAATTAAAAAATAAATATGTAATTTTTTTTAAAAGATTGGGGAAAAAAAGAAGTCATTTTCGGTATCTGTTTCGGCCTGACACATTTTTTTATTTTCGGTTTCAAAATTCCATTTTTGGTGCATTACTGAAAAAACAAAACAAAAAAACCACCCATATAAAGCTGGCCATCAGCTATAGATTATCTGCAGATTTTCTATGGTCAGATGGAAAAAGGGCAACAGATTCCTCCCTCTATGCTAAACTGGGCCAAGCTTCACTATCTTGCTAGTCGCCCCGCTGGCTGTCAAAATACCTCCCTGCATCCAATCAGATTGTCCAGGTATTTTGCCAGCAAGCGGGGCCGACTAGCAAGATACTGAAGCTTGGACCAGTGGGAGATTCCTCCAGCCACACAGTTTAGCATAGGTGAAGGAATCTGTTACACTTTTTCCATCTGACCATAGAGAATCTGCAGATAATCTATAGGTGTGTGGTCATTTTAACTCTTTACTAGAAAGACTACCTCCAAGCCCATATACCCAACCTGATAGAGCTTTTATAAGGACAATATTTTGTTGAACAGATAGTGGATACAATGATTGTTTTTGTTGCTCTCGGTTTCTTAAATATTTGTGCAAAAGGATCTATTTTGTTATGGAAATTAAAAGAAGAATTTTTTTTATTAACCCTTGCAGTGGGGCTACCCATTGCACTGCAAGTTTCTAGGTTTCAAGTTTCTAGCCGGCTTCTTCTTAGACCAGTCCTTCCAGTGTCTCTCCCCCTCCTCTGTAGTGGTCTAAGGTCCTGTGAATCATCAGCATCTATGCACAGTGTATAGACGTGAGGACACTGAGGATTCCAATGCTGCTACTGCTGCAGAGGAAACAGGCTGGAGTGAGCACCGACAGCTAGCCGACTCAGAGCTTCGGGTGAGTATAATTTGTTACTTTTGTCCCTAGACACAAATGGGGACTTAACCGTTGCAGTGCAGGGGTAGCCCCACTGCAAGGGTTAATAAAAGCTTTCTCTGGTGTTGTCCTGTAAGTGCTATTAATTAGAATTAGGGATGCACCGATACTAGTATTGGTGGCGATGCCGAGTATTTGTACTTCCAATCAGAAAGCCGGGCAGCGTGTAATGACTCGCTGCCCGGCTTCCTGATTGGCTGGGAAGCTGGTCAATCAGGAAGCCGGGCGCCGTGTCGTGACGGGGGAGCATGGAGCCAGCTTCCCGGGCCAATCAGAGAGCCGGGTGCCATGTCAATATATGGCGCTTGGGTTTCTGATTGGCCAGAAAGCCGGCTCCATGCTTTCTCGTCATCTAGTGACGAGAAGCATGGAGACGGCTTCCCTGCTAATCGGGAAGCCGGGTGGCGAGTCATTACACGCCGCCTGGCTTCCTTAATGGGACGCCCAGTATCGGTATTCGGTATCGGCGAGTACCAGGAAAAAAAAAAAAATATGGGTGCTCGTATTCGATACCAAAAAACTGCTAATGGTGCATTCCTAATTAGAATTTAAAAAATAAAAAACAACTTTCCAAATCAGATGACCATCATTCAAAAATAAAAGTGAAGGCCTTATTACATTACCTGGTGCTGGAAGCTTGTCGGCCAGCTGGTGGAGGGAATCTGCACATTCTTCATACAAGCTGACAACATAGAAAAACAAAAACAGTTATGCAAGATGCTACAATTTTGTCCAACCGCAAATCTAAGGCCTTGTTCACACCAAGCGCGTTCCGGGAGCAGAGCAGTTGCAGACTGGAGCAAAACTGCGTCCAATGTATTCCAATTGTATTTTTAGCTCCAGTTCACATCGCAGCGTTCAGTTCCAGAGCAGGTAAAAAAACTGCAGTAGGCCCTATTTTACCTGGTCTGGACCTGCTCTGGAACGCATGCAAAAGCCTGGAACGCACTGAAAGCCCATTGGAAACTAAAACAATATATGTTTTTTTGATAACAAACGGCCCGGAACGCATAAAAAACGCAGCACAACCCACTGCACTGCGTGTGCAGAAACTCATGCAGTTCTGCTCTGCATTTGGTCTGAACAAGGCCTAAGGCTAGCCATACACTCTTCTATTCCCCATCCATTGAAAACAGCATGGATGGAGGAATCTCCCCTGCTGAGCTATTATCATTATTATTATGCAGGATTTATATAGCACCAACAGTTTGTGCAGCGCTGAACAATATAAGGAAGACATTATCGGCATTGTCAAGCATTGTCGGGATCCGTTCCGGCTGCGGCGATCTCGGTATATAGTGAGCAATGGGGAGACGGGAAAGGGCAGGAGGTTAGAATATGTCCTCCCATGACACTAAAGAGAACTATGGGATAAAAAGGTTACCCCATAATTCTCTGTACCTGCTTATTCTGCAAAAAGGGATTGAAAAGTCGACTTTTGTCGAACGGAGAGGTGCCGACTGGGCCACACACTGGTCGAATTTCAGGCAAGCCAGCAGGACTTTGCTGAAATTTGACCAATGTTTCGCTGCTTTGATGATTAGCTATGAGAAGGTTTTACCACATATACAAAGCCATCAGACCTGCCATTCCTTTAACCACTTGCTGTCCAGAGCAATTTCTTACATTTGCACACACGCATGATAAAATATAAAATTTTTGGCTAGAAAACAGCTTCAAACCCCCCAAACAATGATCTATGTCCTGAAAGCAGAGGCCCTGTAGAATAAAAAAAATGCTAGTTGCAATTTTTTATGTCGCACAGTATTTGCGCAATTGTTTATCAAACCAATATTTTTAGGCTAAAATAAGCTAAATTAAAATGTAGTGCACAGAAACAGAAGATAATACCCAATTTTTTGGTAAAATATAAAAGACGGGGTCACACCGGGTCGGGCGAGTTGTTTTTTTCTACATTTAGCCCAGCTGCGGGCAAGCAGCCCGGCTAAATGTAGTGTGGGAGCCGTTTCCTACAAGTGATTTTGAACGGCTGTACAGCCGTCCAAAATCACTTGTAACGAGCCTGAATCTCACTCCCCTCCTCCCCCTCCCTATCTATCTCCGGCGGCCATGTAACTCTCCCGGCTTCCTCTGGCTGCACGCTGGCTTCTTTTCTGCCATGGTCTTCGGGGTCCCCCCCCTTGTGGGGGACCCGGGAACAGGCAGATTAGGTTACAGCACGGAGCAGAGAACGCTTCTCTGCAGTGATACAGGAATGCAGCCTTCCTGTCACAGGAGAACAAGCACAGTGATGTGCTAGAACTCCTGTGTTGGAGGTGACAGGGTCAATAAAGAGAACCTGTCGCCTCCAAATGCTTTCACACAGGGGCTTGTTAGCCCTTGTGTAATTATAGCAATAAAGTCAAGTGAAAAAATAAATGACAATTAAAAATGGAAATACATAAAAATGGAAAAAAATAAAAGGCGATAAAAGTAAAAAAATAAAAATAAATGAGAATCAAAAATAACCAATATTACAAAATAATAAAATAAATAAAAACCCTGCTGCACCCACCATCTGCATGCATGGGGTATTGTGTGTGAGTGGAATGGGCGATCCGTTACCGCATGGCAATTGTGCACAAAATCGTGTGGATGGCCTAACGGTCACAGAATCACACACCACCGCCGATCGCGCTGGCGGTGCCTTTATTGTCTACTGGCACCCCAGTCACGCCTGGCAGATTGCGCGGTTTCCCGCCACAATACCGCCCGTGCAATCAGACAAAATCACAATTGAAAACACTGCATGGTGCGTGTTGCGAAAAAAGGTACATGTACGTTTTTCAGTGATTGACACACGGATGTAACTCCACTGAAAGCAATGGGGCCGCGCGGCAACTGCTGCATGCAACCGCACAGGATCGCCCAAGTCTGCACCAGCCCTAAAGGGTAAATTCACTTTCCCAAGGAATTTGGAAAAATTGAATTACCTGCTCAAATCTGGCCCCCTCCCACTCCCGCTATACTTACCTTTCAGGGAACGGTCCTTCCCATCCGCCAATATGGGTGCACTATCTGTAACTGTGCCATGTGTTCTGAATTTCGCTCGCAAATTGCAAGCACTCGTTGGTCAGCACGGTCACCTGACGTCACTGACCAATGAGAAGCTCTTCTTGGCACTGCTAAATACAGTTTTGGGTAAAATAAATTTTTCAGTATCAGGACAAGTAGATTGTCATGAGGGACACGTAGATCGGGCCCCCGGTTTAGTCCTTTGACAATTTTTATTTTTTTTTACATTTCCACACCCCTGCGGGTAAATAGAAACCAAACATGTCAAGCCTTAAAATTGCATTTGCCTGTGAAGCCGCAAAAAACACTCAAAATTTCCCATGGGGAAAATTTTAAATGCATTTACTGCTCATCAGTTTAGTGTTAACAGTAATTGACAGCTCTAGAATTATTGCTCTCACTCCGACGTTCGCAGCGATATGTAACATGTGTATCGCAATTGTCGTTTTTGCACGTAGGCGCACCGACACTTGTGTATGTGCGTGCAAGTGGGGGGCGGTGGACTTTAAAACAAAAAAACGTATTCCATTTTTTTATACGTTACTTCAATTTTTATTATTATTTTTAAACACTTTTTTTTTTTTTTTACACTAACCTTATTGCCATTACATAGGGAGCTTGTTAGCCCCCTATGTAATAGCAATAAGGTTAGCGTAAAAAAAAAAAAGTGTTTAAAAATAATAAAAATTTAAGTATCATATTAAAAAAATGGAATACGACTTCTGGGACGCAATAGCAGAGAGTGTGTGACAGGTCCTCTTTATGGAAAGATCAGTGGTCTTTCAGTACCTAAATGTCACCTAGGGACCCCAAAGAAGCCGAGGAAGCAGATATCTGCTTCTCCAGCTTCATCTCCTGGCTCTAAGAGCTGGAGACTGTAACGAGTGACACCGGAAGTGATGTAATACACATCACTTCCGGGTCCAGTGATCGGAGGAGAGATCCAGTGGCTGGAAGCCGCTGATTCTCTCTCAGATCGTTGCGGGGAGAACCACCAAGCCGGTCCCGGGTACCACACAGGGACAGCGGAGCCCAGGGAAGCCAACGGCACAAGAACAACTGTTCTTGTTTTAACCACTTCTGCGGGCCGCAGTCTATAGACGTATTGCGTCCCGGAAGTGGTTAAATTAGTCTCCCCAGGGTCAGATCTAAACATCCCAAAGCTTCTTGTGAACACAGGTGTGGAAAGCAAACCAAAATACATCTACGAGAATAGATGCTTTGAAGAAAAATTGGATTGTGATCAAAGCGTTTGTAATATATTGCCGCTTACAAGTCCTTGGATGCGGCACCTGAATTAGTTTTTTCCTCCTTTACTTTAACCTAGTAATCCTGAAAATAAACATTCCTGGGTGGCTACGTTCCCTCACCCTACTGTATCCATGGTAGTCACCCAGGCTGGACTTCAAACATGTCATTATCTCCATTACATGGGAGGGGATTGGTAGTTTACAGTAGAAAGAATGGATTGTTTGTGCTTTCAGTTTAGCTCACAGGAAGTGACAAGTGGCATTTCTGGCAAGGTCAACAGGTATTTATGTACTTGCTGAAAAAGAACAAATGCAGCCACCACATCTAAGGACTGGTAAGATGAAATAGATTTAGATTTTTGTTCTTGGGTTTAGAGATTCAAATACGTTTGTGATGTACCCGACACTCATTAATGACATTTACTGGCTATCTGATCAGCAGCTGTTCATTATAAATACAAATTTAAAGTGACTCGCTCCTGTGATGGACTACAATCTCAATACAAATGAGATTGTAGTCCATCACGAGAGCGAGCTTGGAGCGGTGACTACTTTACAACACACACAAGGACCATGGTGAACAAAAGTAGCCCCCCTCCAGAAGGAAGGACAGTGTCAGCACCAATTCAGAGATGATTTGAGGATCTACAGCCGAGTGATACACAAATAATATATCAAGAATCGGAGTATCCCCTAATTTAAGAAATCAACAAACGGTCATCAGATATGTTCAATCAAACTCTGCTGGAGGGTTCCAAGTCAGCTGGGCTCGCACCAAATGGAACCGGCTGTGCTCCGTCTCCACACTTATAAAACCAGCCGGGATATGCATCTACCAGGACTGGCGTGTGGGATGAGTAATTTCGAGTGTCCAGGGAAGTGGTAGACACACGTAACCCTGACGCGTTTCCTCCCACAAGGGGACTTCCTCAGAGGGGCGTGTGCTGTTAGCTCTTGCAAGGATGTATTAAATAGCTGGTTAATGAGGCTAATAGGCTGCCGGATATCACACAGTTAGCGAGCCATATCGTTTCTCAAAAAATACTAATGATGTTGCACATATTTTGGTATACTACAGTGGCACCTGTCGAGCCTTAAGTAAGTAAATAAAATCCTAGATCCCTTTACCCACATCCAGTCACAAGTACAACTATACTTTAACTGATAATAGAAAAATGGCCTTTAGACATCATATAACATCATATACAAAACATCATATAAACCTATACGGGCTAGAGAGAGACTCCTAATGGAAATATAATACACGCTCCCAAAAACAGAGGAATGGGACCACATGGATGGACTCGAAGATACGACATGGTAAACCTGTATACCTCAGATAACCCGGGAATGGAGACCAGGATGAGAGGAGCTCAATCACATAGAGGTAGACATGACTTCCCCTCTTCTTTTTTAGGAGAGGGGGGGCCCCCACCCACTTTGGGAGAGGGGGCCCCGCCTTCTCCGACGGAAAGAAGTATGAGAACACAGGGACTTGCCCGAAACACGGCCAGTATGAAGAAAAAAACAATTCTGGATCATTATCTCCTCAAACGACCCCAATAATGAAAAATGACCTACAGGTCATTAATTTGAGTCCATATGAATTTACAGAGACGCAGTTAAGATTGATCTCTAGGGGTTTAACCTTCTGCCCCGAGGCACCACCGGACAGGTTCGAAATCATCAAGGATGTTAACCTTTTCGCGCGCAGGCTTCTACTGAAGCAGGTGCACGATAAGGAGGGTTTACCCCTGGGTGGCATCCTTGATGATTGGAATGATTTTTCTAGGAGGGACTACAGGGCACTTAGAGACCTACAGGAACTTTGGGAAGAAGGACACATCTCCGATGAGGAGGAAGATGATTCTGAGGCCCCTCCTACTAAACAGCATTTCAAACGAAAGTCAAAGACGTTTCCGCCACTGACGCAGAATATTAATATCTGGGATTTTGTTAAAAGGGTGAGTGAGGGGATTAAGAAAGGGGTGTCCATTAGAATCAAGGAGGATAACCTCTCCCCTCCGGAAAGATTAGCCCTGGAAGATCTTAAAAAGGAACAAAAGTATAGTGATCAAGCAGGCAGATAAGGGTGGCAATGTGGTCATCATGACCAATGAACATTATACAGAGATGGTTTTAAGGATTTTGGAAAATATCACTTGGTACCGTCCCATAGAACCCTCCGTAACTAGATCTTTCCAAGGGAATCTTGAGATACTACTGCAGGAGGCTTTGGATCTGGGCCTCATAGACAAGGGCACACTGGACTTTCTGAGGGTGCCTTTTCCACGAACGCAGGTTCTCTACACCCTCCCCAAGATACACAAATCTTTGGAAAACCCCCCCGGGAGGCCCATAGTCTCCGGGTGTGGGTCACTAACGGAGAATATCAGTTCATACGTTGATTTTTTCCTTAAACCTCATGTAGAATCACTGGCTTCCTTTGTCAGAGACACCCCGCACTTGATTTCTCAAATACAGGGTTTGACAGTACCCCCTGGCACCCTACTGGTGGGCCTCGATGTAGAAGCCCTTTATTCTTCTATTCCACATTCCAAGGGACTAAAAATGACTGAAAGATTCTTGGCTACCCTGGGGACTACAGAAAGCTCGCACAATGCTTTCTTAGTGCGACTCCTGGAATTTATCCTGACCCACAATGCCTTCCTTTTCAACCACCAATACTATTTACAACTACAGGGAACAGCCATGGGGACTAAGTGTGCACCATCCTATGCCAACCTTTATCTGGGGGGTTGGGAACAGGACCTATGGGCTAGAGAGGATCTTTCTATGTACCTGTGCCACGTCTCGTCCTGGCACAGGTACATAGATGACATCCTCTTGCTGTGGACAGGGGACTTGGACCTCCTGAGAGACTTCGTTGATATATTAAACTTTAACGATTTGAATTTAAAATTTACCTTCACCCATGACTGTAATAGGTTACCCTTTTTAGACGTTCTAGTGTGCAAGGATGTCGAAGGGACCCTCTACACCAGTCTATACAGAAAAGCCACAGCAGGCAATGCCATCTTAGAAGCCAACAGCGCCCACCCTTCCTGTCTAAAAAACAGTATTCCCTTTGGCCAATACCTGAGAGTCAGACGAAATTGTACCAATGATGAGGATTTTGAAAGAGGAGGCACACAATTTAAGACTCAGGCTACGGGCCCGGGGCTACTCGAACAAAATATTTAAAAAATCCTACAAACGTGTGAAAAGTGGACCTGGGAAACCCAACAACACCAATATAAATACATCTAAATTAAATAAAAATGGTAGAGAGGATTCCCCAGTAAGATTAATTTTAACTTATAATAACCAACATGCACAAATATTAAAGATTCTTCAGAAACACTGGCACTGCTTGACCAGGGATTCGAGAATCTCTAGATATGTGGGTACTAAACCCACCATCACTTATCGCAGATGTCCCTCGTTGAAGGACAAATTGACCAGTAGTGACTTTGTGAGTAGGCCTGTCTCCTGTTGCAAATACAAGGGTATCTTCCAATGCCAGAAGTGCAAATTCTGTCGATACGTCCAGACTGGGGCAGAGATATCCACCCCTGGAGGTACGAACTTCAAGGCCCACCATTTTGTCAACTGTGAGACCAGGGGTGTGGTCTACCTGATGCTCTGTCATTGTGACATGTTTTATGTGGGAAAAACCAAACGCATGCTCAAGAACAGAATATCTGACCATCTGTCGGATATAGCAGCTAGAGACCTTAGGTCCCCCATAGTTAGACATTTTGTAGATACCCACAGTGGACGTATCGACAGACTTCGCTTTTTTGGCTTGGATAGGGTCCATCAACCCAGACGTGGGGGGGATTGGGATAAAACCCTATTATAGAGAGAGTGCAGGTGGATTCATCAGACGGAGGCTCATCAGGCGCCAGGTCTTAACGATATGATTAACTTTAGCTGTTATCTCTGAAACCACCTGTACACCAAACATAATGCTTCTTGTTTTTAATAATTGAAGTCGACTAATTCAAGTATATTCTTTATCCTTGAGCTACAAACCGGTTACCTTCGACAGGGGGTTACCTGAGTTACATTTCTGTCAATTATTTAATTACCGGATTGTTTGTATATATATATAATTTTGGAGTATATAGGGGACTCCTGATGTCATTTGTAGTCGAGTCTGGACTGATGATACAATTTTTTCTGGGTTTTTTTTTTAGGGGTTGAACCCCCATGCTGGGTTATCTGGTACTCCTTACTTTCCCTTACCCGTACGTTTCTTTATATGACTTTGAAACACATGTGTTGACTCAAGTTATAACAGCAGTAATTACTTACTACCATCTATTCCATGAGTAGCCCGTCGAAACTCGATCCTTTCACATCAGGAGTCTCTCTCTAGCCCGTATAGGTTTATATGATGTTTTGTATATGATGTTATATGATGTCTAAAGGCCATTTTTCTATTATCATAAATCAGTTAAAGTATAGTTGTACTTGTGACTGGATGTGGGTAAAGGGATCTAGGATTTTATTTACTTACTTAAGGCTCGACAGGTGCCACTGTAGTATACCAAAATATGTGCAACATCATTAGTATTTTTTGAGAAACGATATGGCTCGCTAACTGTGTGATATCCGGCAGCCTATTAGCCTCATTAACCAGCTATTTAATACATCCTTGCAAGAGCTAACAGCACACGCCCCTCTGAGGAAGTCCCCTTGTGGGAGGAAACGCGTCAGGGTTACGTGTGTCTACCACTTCCCTGGACACTCGAAATTACTCATCCCACACGCCAGTCCTGGTAGATGCATATCCCGGCTGGTTTTATAAGTGTGGAGACGGAGCACAGGCGGTTCCATTTGGTGCGAGCCCAGCTGACTTGGAACCCTCCAGCAGTTTGATTGAACAGATCTGATGACCGTTTGTGGTAACTGCACTTTCTGCAGTACCTGGTGTACCTGGAATCTCTCACCGTGGAGACCCCCACTTCTACCGTTGCTGCTGTCTGCTGTTTCATTGTGCGGCCGCACATATATTTTTTCTGCAATCTAAATCGAAGTTCGCGGGTCAGTGAGAGCCCCTAGCAAGGGGAAAGGGAAGGGCGCTTACATCGTTTCAGCCCTACCAACATACCCCTCTCTCTGAATCCTAAACCACAGCTACAGGACACACTCTTTGAAGTGAAGCACTATTCAACCATCTAGCACTGAGGGATCCGAGCAGGACTGTCTCTCCCTAAACCGTATGAGTTGTGAGTAACTTTGGATACTCTGTATCCGTATATGAAATACAGTGCATGTATCTGTGTTAATCAGGTCTTTGCTACACCAGCTGGCTTGTAGATCCTCCGTGTCACTATTAACTACTGTTTGTTCAAGGGAAGTTTTTTAATTGATTTTAATGTCTTGTTATGGATGTATTGTTTTGTTTATATCCGTTTCTTTACAATTAAATGAATTTTTTGATTAAATTTACATGTTATACCTGTTTACTAAACCAGCTCCGAGAAAGGGATTTCTTAAAATTAGGGGATACTCCGATTCTTGATAAGTTTTGTCGAAACCCTGGAGTTTGGTGTATTATATTATATATCAGAAGTTTTTTCGCGTAACTCCTTATGCTCCCCTGTTTGCTGTAGAAATGTGATACACAAATAAGATACATTTATGTTAATAGTTAGGATACTTGAATGTATTTTTAAGGTTTAACTCCTGAGTTTAGTTTCACTTTAATATTCCAGTAAAAGCTGATTGTTATTTTACAGTCTATTCATTTTTAATCTTGTTATTTCTGACTGGAGTTCTGCTTTAAAGATAATGTGTGCCAGTTTATATCTTTCATACACAACCCAAGTCATACCTGGTCTGGGACACAGAGTCCCTGCTGTCTTCATCATCTTCCTCTGAGCTTTGCAGAGCACACACACATTCATCAATAGCACAAGGAGGAGGCTCCGATCCATCATCAGGCGATGTCACCAGACTCAGATCTTCCCAATCACAACTGGAGAACTGAAGAGATTTATACAAGATGAAGGTGAAGAAATAACACTGGACGGGACCACAATAAAGAGAGAAAATATACACAAAAGCTCTAAATCCCATGCTCCTCCATAGCCAGAAGTACAAGACATTTCCTTTAGTAGCTCCCTCAACTGAACAGAGCAGTGAGCGAGCGAAGGAAAAGCGAGTACATACTGCTGGGGAGGGGATTAAAGCAAACCTGCTTTGCCCTAAATAAAAAGCAGTAGTAGAAATGCTTGCAGTGAAGCAACCAGGCATACTTGTACTTGGCATGAAGGGCCTGGGTGACACCAGCACAGTGACATTTACCTAGAAATCCAATGAACAGACAAGAGGGGGGCTGAGAAGTGAAACAGCTGCCATATACATGTTCAGTTGTGTTTTAAAAAAGGAGAACTATGAGGCGAGTGAAAATCACTCAGCCTCATAGTTCGAGCGGACGCGTGACAATGAAACTGTCACACGTCAGCTCAATAGATCAGGAAGTGAGCGAACACATACCATTGCTCGCTCACGTCTCGATCATCTCCCTGCAGAGAGCCGTAACGGTCACTCACGGCTCCCTGCAGTGATCCCCCCTCACCGCTCCGATCCTCCAGCGCTGACTGGCGGACCGGACGGGGGAGGGTACAGCTGGCTCTGCCTCTAGATAGGTAGAGCCAGCTGTCATCACGCAGCTGGGTTGATCCAGACAGTAATGTCGGGATCCTTCCCGGCTGCGGCGGTCTCAGTATACCACGAGCTGTAGCTCACGGTATACTGAGCTTTGGGTGACGGGAGGACGCTAGTTTGTGTCCTCCCATGACCCTGGGGTGAGAACTATGGGGAAAAGCACTGACCCCATAGTTCTCCTTTAAGCTGCTGCTACCCTTTGCCTATGGGGATCTTTCATACATGGGCAGTTCTTACCTGAAAGGAGCCATAGGCAAGCTGGAGAGCAAAGAACCATTTTCTTACTCCTGGATCTCCGGAAAGGGAACAAGCTGAAAAAATTTAAAAAGTGACAGGATGGTGATGACCGGGCTTACTATAATTATATTGTAGTTGTTACAATGCTATGATAGCTGGGGGTATACATTTATTACTGGTATTTATATAGCGCTGACAATTTACACAGCACTTTACATAGTTGCACATTCACATCAGTCCCTGCCCTGAAGGAGCTTACAATCTAAGGTGGTCCCTATCTCACATACATACACATGAGGGCCAATTTAGAGAGCTAATTAACCTTCCAGCATGTCTTTGGAGTGTGGGAGGAAACCGGAGTACCCAGAGAAACCCACGCAAGCACAATCGTTTGCAAACTATCTGCAAACTCCTTGCCGATAGTGACCTGGATAGTGCAGGAGTGACCTGGCCGGGATACGAACCGGGCACCCCCAGTGCTGCAAGGCAGAAGCGCTAACCATTACGCCACTGTGCGATTAATGCACTCTACCATGCATTCGCACCTACGACACGTTCTGGTGTACGAGGTGCATTGCATTGCCATTTATTTGAATGGCACCTCAACACAGCGTGGTACCACAATGCCGTGCGTCCCATTGCAGTGCGACTTGGGTCGCGACTTAATGACCAAGGACAAATGTGGGTCCTGAGGTTACACAGGTTGAGAACCACTGCTCTAGAAGTTAATGAAACTTGTTTTGCCTGTACAGTGGCACCTCGCTTCACGAACTTAATTTGTTCCACGATTCTGGTCGTGAACAGAATCAAACTGAGATCAGACCGCGATCTCGACTAGAGGAAGACACGACCAATGTCAGAGCAGGGAAGATGGCCGCGGTCGTGTTCGTCACCTGATGCGGAGTTCGCGAACGGAAGCAAAATTTTGCCAAACTTCATGTTTGCAAACAGGAGGTGAGGAGGAGGTCATGTTCACATTAGAGGTGAGGAGATTAAGGGGGGATATGATTTCCATGTACAAAATGTTTAATGGTGGTAACAACATTAGCGATAAACTGTTTAAAATTAACTCCATTACAAAAACTAGGAGGCCATCACCTAAAATTGGTGGAAAAAAAATTCAAGCCCAAGGGGCGAAGGGGGTTCTTTACAGTAAGATCAGTTAGGGTCTGGAACTCACTGCCACAGGCGGTGATTTCAGCAAATAATGTGGAATTGTTCAAGAAACTTTTGGACGATTTCTTAAGGGACCGTAATATACAGGGGTACAGGTACTCCTAGAATGAGATCCTAATAGGTTGGACTTGATGGACTAATGTCTTTATTCAACCTCAAATACTATGTAACTATGTAACTAGGAGCGTTCGTGAACCGAGGTACCACTGTATTTATTCTGTTGTCAACTATGTATTTCATCTGATATGTTTATAACCTAAAGGCTGTTATGGTGGAACTAGAGATCTAACATTTCTAGAAATTTTGAAGCCATGAGAAAAAAAAAAAAGTTTTTTTTTCCAGAAAAATGACATTTTTGGAAAAAAAAATAAAAAAAAAAATTCACTGTGGAGTACACAGTTCAAGAGGCAATCAAGTAGTTTGCTGTTTGGATACATAAAATCCTAAATGTCAGACGACATGATATGAAGACAAGTGACTTACCTGGGAATGTGTCGGTGTGACTGAGGCAGTAATCTTTCAGCTGAGAATAAGTATCCTGCACATCCGATAACCCTGCAAAGAGAGAAATGGGGGGAGATTTAGACCAGCATGCGCAGGGGTATGCGAGGCAACCGCAGGGGTAAGCGAGGCACCCGCAGGGGTAAGCGAGGCAACCGCAGGGGTAAGCGAGGCAACCGCAGGGGTAAGCGAGGCAACCGCAGGGATATGCGAGGCAACCGCAGCGATATGCGAGGCAACCATTACTGATCTCAGTGTCTGAAAATGTTACTTGTCTTGCTGCCAGGGTGATCTGTAGTAATTTTTGAGTAGCTGACTGGGAAGTGTGCAAATTGTGCCTTTAGAAGGTACTAAAAGTAAAAGGACAGCCAGACAATGGGAGGGGGGGTCACTGAATGCAGGAAGGGGGTCACTGAAGGCAGGAAGGGGGGTCACTGAAGGCAGGAAGGGGGGTCACTGAAGGCAGGTTTCCTTTACTGGGAAAAACCATTTCATTACAAAAAATATGGACGGCATGTTTAAAAAGGAAAAATATTATAGTTTGAGATCAAGTTTATACATATCTAAAGTCATATTTTAAACGAGAAAGGAATCCCAGAGCACTTGTGGTTAGCTTAGCAGACTGGGCCACAGAGGAGCTTCTTTGTCGTTCCCTCTGACTAATAACCTCCTACTGAGCTGTATGATAAAGGATGGAGTTTGGAAGATGAAGGTAGGAGGTGCTGAATACAAAATTAGTTTATCTCCTCAGCAGGAAAAGAAGTCCATTCTATGGAGTGACTGTAAGCAATAAATACTGTAAAGGGTTCAGTGCTCATTTAGGTCTAGGGATGAAAACAGAGTTATACTCTCCTGATCCTCAGTGCCAGCTGGCTGTGACAGCGCTCCCTCTTGTGCTGAAGCAAAAGCATGACCCTCAGCGTCCTCACGTTCTATGAACTGTGTATAGAACGTGAGGACTTAAGGGACCTTAGAAAGCTGCAGCGGGGGGGTGGGTTGGGGAGGCTCCAAGGACCAGTCTAGGAGCCGGCCAGCTCTGAGGATGGGGTGAAGGGGGGACAGGAGGAGTATAACTTTAAAGTTCTTCTTTAAATCAAATACAAAGGACACATGTGCTGTATTTTCTAAGTGCTCCGAGACACACCAGCAGTTTATAAACAGCCTCTTTGCAGCCATTTCCTGTCAACATGCACTCCAAGCATGGCTGTGCAGCATTTGTCACCATTTGCATGGGATAGTGACAACTGTGGACCAGGTCTGTCTCTGCCCATGTGACAACAGAGGAGCAGAATCTTGAGACAGGGAAAGAGCGTTGTCCAAGCCCCTTCCTGTTATGGGGCCAAATTTATGTCAGGATTACCAGGCCCCTGGTTCTGGAATAGGCCTGCAGCCATTGGTGTCAGGTCGGCAGGCTTGCTCCTGGTCTGAGGTTGCTTCTCACAGCACTGAAGAGAGTGACCCATCATGGCAGCCAGGCCGCAAGCATTTTCAGAAGAGGTCTGCAAAGGCGGTCGGGTGTTTTCCAAGCTTTGTGGTACCTGCGGGGAGGGCCTGCAGCCGGTCCCGGGCTCCCTCCGTCCTCCTTTGCCAGCTGACAACCAACACGTAGCGCTCCATACGCCCCTAATTCAAGTGGCACTTCACCCGCCCTGGAAAACCCCACACACCGGCTCCAGCGGAGACCCTCTACACCGGGAACCAGATATTCCACCTTTATTTCACCCGTACTCAGCCCAGAGTCCGGGAAAATCAAATCGCCGCGCCAGTGACGTACTTCCGCCTAGCTGTCAGCGGCAAGCTCTCCCCCCGGCAAACTGTCCCCATACTGAAAGTTCCTCCAGCACCCAGCCACAGCGATGTAGTCACTGAGGTTTAGTTTCAGGCTACACTGTTCCTCTTACACACAAGTGAACGTAAATTAAAGGCTTTCTAATCACAAACGACTCGACGCTGCAAGATCGGCTTGTCTGAGGAACAACTCAGTCACTATGTTCTTCAGTAAGTGTCTCTTTATATGTCTGTTGTGATGGATGGTGAGCGCCATTTTGCCGAAGACCACTTTCTGCTGAATGCTTGCTAATAGACGCAGGAAAAATGTCTCCACTACCGGATAAATAAGTACGCCTGCGACAAAATACGCTTGACTGGTCTCAGGTTTACGCGTGTTCTAATAAACGGTGGGGGACATTTTGTCGTAGACTATATAGCACTGAGGTCTAGGGAATAGACTTACCTAAAATGTCTTCGTAGATGGAGACATAAAATACTGGAACTGGGTCTCTGGTGAATATACTGTACTGTCGGTCTGTGTGTCATGGTGACCTCCATGTGATGGCGAGTTACAGCAGAGCTGCCCAGGTAATGATGTCTGTAAGAGATAGAAGCCCTGCTATGTCATTCTGAGATATCTGCAGGATGCTGGCAGTACAGTAGATCGGGGTTCCAGCAACGTCAGTCAGCAAATGGGGCAGAGACAGGCTCACACTGATGTTGTTAGATGTGTCTAGCAATGGGCCACATTCTCCCGTGTATGGCATATTATCGATGGCAGGATGCAGCCGCCGGGGAAGATCGCAGCGCTGTGCTGCACCCACCTGCAGGGGTTACACAAGCCAATGTACCACCCTCTGAGTAAGTGTACTAGACAGTAACACATGAAAGGATAGCGAATGTTGTCATCTGTAATGTGAGTGACCTGAATAAGGGTCCATTCATATTGTTCTGTGAGCATCCCATGTGTTTTCTGGGGTGCATTATTGTGCTTTTTGTTCTAACCCAGTTATTTTTTATGGACCCTTAAAGGAGGAGTATTCTGAGAGTAAAATGTACTCTTCCCAAAACTGAAAGCCGGCTTGGGACACTTCAGGTGTCACATGCCGGCACTATAGATCGAAAGCTGATCGATCACAAACCACTGATGTCTCATCTCACGGTCTTCTCCCTGCAGAGAGTGGTGACTCAGTTACAGCTCCCCCCAAGGATTTCCTCCTCCCCTCTCTGTTCCTCCAGTGCTCATTGGAGAGACAGGCAGGGGAGGGGGCGAGCACAGTTGGCTCTGGCGCTAGAGAGGCAGAACCAGCTTTCAATCAGGCAGCAGGGTGGATCTCGACTGATTGGCCAGAAAGCCGGCTTCATGCTCCCTCGTCACCTGGTGACGAGACAGCAGGGAGCTGGCTTCCCGGCCAATCAGGAAGCCGGGCGCCGTGTAATCACGCGTTGCCCGGCTTCCTGATTGGCCAGAAAAGCGGCTCCATGCTGTCTCGTCACCTGTTGACGAGGTAGCATGGAGACGGATTCCCTGCTAATTGGAAAGCCGGGTGGCGAGTCTTTACACGCCGCTCGGCTAATCAGGAAGCCAGTTGGCGAGTCATTACATGCTGCCTGGGTTCCTTAATGGGACTTCTGGTATCGGTATTCAGTATTGGCGAGTACCGGGAAAAAAAATATCGGTACTCTATACCGGAATACTATGAGAAAAATGGTGAGGATGAGAAAAATAAGATATGCAAAGAATACAAAGCCGGCAATTATCTAGAAGTATCTGTTTATAGATTGTCATTCCTAAACATTTGTAAAGGTGCCTTTTTGTTATTTCAAAGATAGGGGTAAAGTTCCTCTTTAGCATACAATAATTTCCATGAAAGGTGCACATTTTGGAGACTGTAGGTAAACTGCAGCAATTTTGTTTGGTTTTTTTTTGCCACATAAAAATGTGATGGCGAGATCCGTACCAAAAAAAAAAAAAGATGGAATTCGAATTCTGCACACTTTTGAGTTTTAAGAAAACAATGTGAACGGATCCAGATTGCATTTTGCGCTGCACTATTTTTTACCAGCAGATGGCACTGCTGCCCCAGAAAAGCAGAATCTTTCCTCCCGCAGTAACATGCTCACCAAGTACAAGATTACTGGTATTTATAAAGCGCCGACAATTTGCGCAGCTCTTTACATAGTTGCACGTTCACATCAGTCCCTGCCCTGAAGGAGCTTGCATCTGCAGAACTGGTGAATGGCATAGCCTGCAGCTGAAAGTAGATGTGAATCCTTAAAGGAGAACTATGAGGTGAGTGCTTTTCACTCACGTCATAGTTCTAGCCGACCTGTGACAATGAGACTGTCACAGGTCGGCTCAGTAGATCGGTAGGTGAGCGAACACATACCGGCGGTCGCTCACCTCTCGATCCGGTCACGGCTCTCTGCCGTGACAGGGGAGGGGCTGGATTCCCCGCTCCGATCCGCCAGCGCTGACGGCAGAGCCAGCCAGAGAGGCAGAGCCAGCTGACAGTCACGCATCTGGGCGGATCCAGACATAATTGTCGGGATCCGCTTCAGCTGCGGCGTCTCAGTATACCGCAAGCTGTAGTTATACTGAGCCTAGGGTGACGGGAGGATGCTAGTTTGTGTCCTCCCGTTACCCTAAGGAGAACTATGGGGAAAAGCCTTAACCCCATAGTTCTCCTTTAATGAATAACATTTTGTTTCCTAAAGCACTGTGTTATAGTAAACAAATGCCATTTTCTTAAAGCAGAACTTCGGGCAAATTGAATTGTAACCCTTGCAGTGTGGCTACCCCGCGCGGCAAGGGTCAAGTGCTCGTTTTGTGTAGGGAGCTAAATTAACAAAGTTATACTCCCCTGATCCGCGGAGTCGGCTTGCTTTTAGTCTGGTCCTTTCAGCCTCACTCCCCCAGCGCTGCAGCAGTCTAAGGATCCTTGAGTCGTCATGTTCTATACACTATTGGATGTGAGGACGCAGAGGAGCTGGAGGAAGTAGTATGGGGCCAGCCAGATCCTTGGTTCAGGTGAGTATATCTGTTTTTTTTAGCTCCCTAGACAACGCAAGCACTTAACCCTTGCAGTCGGTAGTGTGTGTGGGGGGAGGGGGGGAGTGTGTGTGGGTGGGGGGGTAGCCCCACTGCAGGGGTTAAGGATTTTATTTGCCTAGAGTTCTGCTTTAAAATAAAATACCTGTTTTCACCTTCTGTTGCATCAGAGTGCTGCTTATTTCCTGTAGCCACTTCCTGTCTCCATGTACTCCAGCAAAGGCTTTGTGGCATTGCTCAGGCTGGTTTTCCTAATGGTGAACATGCCTGCACAATGAACGTTGGCACATCCACTTGTAGACTCTATTAGGAGATTGGTGATGTGGTGACAATGCAAGAGAACAATTAGAAGACAGATAGAAAGTGTTGTCACCCTATAACACAAAGTGCCTGACCAATGACCTTCTTGGGAGGATCACTAGGTATTCATTTAAATCTGAACTCCGGGACAAGCAAATATTGTCTATTGTACAAGTTTAAATCAGATTTGATGCTTACGTGATGTATGTTTTCCAATTCTATACCTACTCTGTTTATTCTTCTATATTATCAGCCCCATTTCCCACAAAGCTGATTTCCAGGAGAAACATATATTGTCTGAATTCAAGAGTAATGTGTACTGTTCTTTGAATCTTGGTGAGCTTTGTCTATGTTCCACAACTGTGCAGTAATCCAGTGTGAAACATGGAGCTTCCTGTCGTAAAGACCGGTCACTGCTGATCTCTCTTCTTGTGCAGGGTGACTGGTCTTGTATCCGCCTCCTCCTGTAATAAAGACCGCTCACTGCTGCTCTCTCTCCTTGTGCAGGATGACTGGTCTTGTATCCCCCTCCTCCTGTAATAAAGACGGATCATTGCTACTCTCTCTCCTTGTGCAGGGTGACTGGTCTTGTCTCCACCCCCTTCTGTAATAAAGACCGCTCACTGCTGCTCTCTCTCCTTGTGCATGGTGACTGGTCTTGTCTCCAAGGCAAGACCTCTACTAGGCAATAACTAGGTTTGCAAAAGCCTTTGGTGCTCATAAAGTTGATTTATATCTCTTGTGGCTATTAAGCAATATATTTCACTTGAAGTTTTTGTGCCTAGATTCAGCTTTAATGCAAGATCTGTTTTTTTAAATATATATTAAAATATTTTAGCATTTTAAAAAGGCATACATAAAGATTATATGATATTCTAGTGATTGGGTTTAAACATATTTTAAAATGATCTAAAAGTAATGTGTTTGCTGCTGATCTCAATCTTTTCTTCAGTATTTCTTTTGCCCATCACCCATCACGAATGTTTTCTGATAATTGGACAGTATAGGGGGTATCAAACAGAGCCGATAACTGCAGTACACAGAGTGTGATGAAAACTGTCTGCTAGTTTTGAAATTCTCAGACATTTACTCATTCTGAACATTTAGAATGGAAAAGTCCCCACACCTGTGCAGAAAATGATCTACTGAACGATCAGAGACTTAGAACAGTGAATGTCCATGTACCTTAGTGAATAAGGTGATACTATGATTACTTCAGTCATCTAATAACATGAAAGTAAATATTATTGTTATTATATATTTTTTATTTGTTTTTTTGTGTGTGTGTATACTAACACATGATTGAGTATTCAAAGTGAGCACAGTTTAACCTTATTTACTATGCTAAGTGAACATTTACAGGGTTATTCACAAAAAGGGTGAAGAGTTTGGAGAAGGCAGGAGAAGTAAACAATCTAGGACCTTGGTTCCCAACTGGTGGGTCGTGACCCAAAAGTGGGTCGCGACCACATGTTGAGTGGGTCCCCGTGTGCCTTCCACTTTTCTAGGTGAGAGGCTCTTCTTCCTCCCCCTAGCATAGACCTGTCAGTTGCCACGCCAAGCAGCCATTCAAAATATGCTGCCAGGCGCCAAGTGTCAGATTGAGCTGGGGTGGGCTGGGACTATGCCTGCGAGGGAGCTCCATCCATACTTGCACTGCTTACAGCTCACTCGCATACCCTGTAGAGGTGCCTGGACCGGAGTGATGTCACAATGTGGCTTCCCGCACCTCTAAAGGGCATGCAAGGAAGCTGTACAAGTGGATGCACATATGGATGGAACTCCGTCACAGGACAGCAGCCCACACTGCGTTCCATTGCAGTGCAACTTGGGTCACCACCTAATTGCCGAGGACAAATGTGGGTCTTAAGGCTACACAGGTTGAGAAACACTGATCTAGGACAACGTAGCTTTCCAGTTCAGCTATGTTGTCCTAGATTGTTCCCTTCTCCTGCCTTCTCCAAACTCTTCACCCTTTTGTGAATAGCCCTGTTACTTCGCTAAGCAAACAGTGTCTATGATTTTAGGAAACCAATCCCCATGTGTCACCAAAACAGGAAGTAAGGAGAAATTAAAGTGACACAAACTCAGGAGTGAAATCTTTCAAATACATTCAAGTACCTTTTAACTATGAACAACAATGTATCTTATTTGTGTATCACTCGGCTGTAGATCCTCAAATCATCTCTGAATTGGTGTTGACACTGTCCTTCCTTCTGGAGGGGGGGGTACTTTTGTTCCCCATGGTTCCCTGTGTGTGTTGTAAAGTAGTCACCACTCCAAGCCCACTCCTGTGATGACTACAATCCCAATACAAATTAGTAAACTAAACATAAGACTGTAGTCCATCACAAGAGTGATCTTGGAGCGGTGACTACTTTACAACACACACAGGGACCTTGGGGAACAAAAGAAGCCCCCCTCCAGAAGGAAGGACAGTGTCAGCACCAATTCAGAGATGATTTGAGGATCTATAGCCGAGTGATACACAAATAAGATACATTTTTGT